TGCACCGTGAGCCATCCATGGCCAGTCATAGCGCGATGATGCCAGCCTCGGCAAGACGGGTGTTCATACGAGCGATTTCCTGATTCCGCACCCCGACGAACGTCACAATCAAGGACTCGACCTCAGTCCACCTTTTGTCGTGGTCGTTTTCGGGTGGGTCCTCCTCGTCGCGGAGCTTCTTGTACCAGCTATCAAGCGTTTCGATGTTTGGAAATATATCCGACAAAAGCGCCGCGACCTTGGCGGTATCGCCTGACGAAATCGGCGAATGCACCACGTTCAGAAATTGGAGCGCGGCAAGGGACACTTTCGGGGCGTTGGGGTCGATGTCGGGGATAATGCGGGCGTTGATGTTTATGAAGATGGTGTATAGCAGTGGGCAGTATTGGGCGAGAGTGATCAGGCTGAAAAGGGTTGCACAGGGGCGGCGATGTGGTATACATTCAGAATCGAATTTCAGATATTCGATACGGGGCCATGTTATTGCCAGGTCCAGGATGAATGCGTCGTCGATGTCAAAACCATGGGAGGCCGAGAGTTCGACTGTGGTGAGATTAGAGAAGGCAAGAAGTGGTCGCAATGATTTTGCTGGAACGACACACTCCTCGGACACGGTGGCTGGGTCGATGTCAGCCCTCGATTCGCTGTAATCTTCGATCCGGAGGCATGTAAGAATCGATGGGGAGAATTTATCCGCCACAATTCCAATAATCTCCGCCCAGGTAGATGCACTTAGCGAACGTTCGTTACTGCGGAACTCAGCGCCGCTCAGGAGGGAGCAAGTTGACCACAACCGCAGAAATGTAATTGAGAATTCAAGTTCTTCGCTTCGGATTGACAAGTTTCGGAGCGCCGGAAAGGCAGAATGAGGGAGGGCAGAGGGAAGTGTCATGCCATAATACGCAGGGCCAATGGTGAGGGCGGACAGACTCGGAAGTGAGGCGATATGGGTCAAGGCGTCCGGGGATAAACTTTCGACTGTTATACGTTGTAACCCGTTCCATCTCAGAACAGCGGCAGATATCACGGCGCAAACGTCATCCCTAAAAGAAAATGATACAGCAGTAAGATTCGGATATCTCTCAGGTAAAGATGCGATGAGGGACAGGGCCGCAACAGTGTTGTCGTCGTTCTGGTATGAGATGCTGATTGTGGATATATCAGGGCCCAGGAATAGCGGTATAAATGGGAAAGCAGCAGCAGCGTCTTTGTTCCAAGACATATCAAACCAAGCAAAATCCTTCACGTTGGGCAACAGAGCTTCACCCCTCGTCGCGATATACAGGTTTTGGTACCAGGTATGATCCAAGATGTGATACTCGGTGGTGGTGGTCCAGGTTGAGGAGAAGGTGCGGACAAGTGAGGCGTGCTTTCTAAACCTCGGCCAGTCCGTTGGACGGATCTCCCTTCTCATTTTCTAGAAAACATCAAGGCATCACCTTTTGCCCATCAGCTTCAAGTAGGGAAGGAACTCACGAATTCTATACCATTCTCGATAGCCCACAGGTCCCTTGGCATGCACTTTAAAAGTAAAGCAAAGTCCTCTAAGCGGCTCCACAGGATCCTAAGTGCCGGCTCGTGAAAGGCGCGGCAGGTCCGCACGAATGCTGCGAGATAACGTAGCTGCTCTAACCTCGAGGTGTCCGCGCCGTCAATGACAGCAAATTGATTGCAAATAAGCGTCACAATTTCGGGGACCTGGAGGCAGGGATGCATCACGAAGGACTGAGAGAGCGACTAGTCTCCTAAAGGGACACGCAGGACTTGAATGAATCTGCAGTGGCTCAGGAGGTTTTGTGCAGCGTAACGCAACGCGAAAAAATTGCACGTGAATGTGACGATTCGTAACGCGTTAACTCTTCCTCGGATTCCTTGTGAATGGTCGTGCACGCAACCAACACAGCACGCCGTGTAGCAAATATCCGCAGTTCTCCATTCGGATGCTTGTTAGGCTTTCAAGCAGATCTTTCGCCTCCCGTCCAGGTGCTCACAGCGATTGCACCATGTCGCTCCAACCTCTGAACGTCAAACCAATGCTCATCCTCTATCCAAAAACTTTGATAGTCCGCCGCGACATATGGATTTCGTCAAGCAAACATTAAGCTACAGCCAAAACAAGAGAGCGAAATGTGCGCCAAGCCAAAACACAACATGTTGAGACAGAGAAAGAGTGATAGTGATGGCGGCGTTATTCTTGTTCAGCCTGCCTTCTGACGTGGGGGTCGCGGGGGAAGCGTCAGCGCTGACGGTCTGCGTGATCATTCCAGGCCGCGCAGGTGTACCACTCGGCTCAGCATGAGTTGTCCGTATTGAAACCGTGACTTCGGCAGCAGTGGCCGCGACGCCGGTGGGCGCTGGAACAAGCGTTTCTGTGAGGTTTGGAAAAGCCAGTGAGCGCTGGATAAAAATGGACTGCGGATAAAGAAGAGTGGGGTCACTGACGTTTGAATTTGCCACCGTTGTTTTTTGCGTGCTCTACGGCTTGTTTGAGGAGAGCGCCGGCGTTGGAGGGGACGGTGGAGAGGAAGCCTATGCGGGGAGGGTCCACAGATGGATGGGTCATGTTCCCGTAGTGGAACGCAACGAGATTGCTAGTGTGCAAATAAGTCAGGACTCAGTGTTCAGCAACGTAGATTCGAAGTTGAAAGGCAACTGACGATTTCATAAACGGGTCACCAAGACTCCATCGGTAGAGGGAGCCGAGCCGAGGGGCATCGGTACCAACAAGGGTATCTGCGACGCATGTGGTGGTGTCTCCCTCTGCGCGTGGTCCTATGAAGTCGCGAGGGTCAACAGGAAACATCTGGCCATGCGGTTTCGTTACGGTAGTAGAATATTAGGAAAGAGAGGAACACACCTTGCCTCCAATCTGGAATGCTATAGTGTGGGGTACCGAGCAAGGTACTAGCGGGTCATCATCAACATTTCCTGGATTGTAGTCCGGTGAAATTTTTCCGAAGATGGCGTCGACCATGTCGTCTGGGCCGCGAAGGATCGAGTTTCCCTGAAATTCGAGTTATTTAGAAAGGACACATCGCAGAGAAAGTAGCGAACTCACAGTGTCAATCAGCGCTGTGATTTTGCCTGGGTTGACACCCACTGCCGGTATCGTAGAGTCTTGTACACGTTCCCCATCCAGGAAGACGCCATCTAACTCTACCTCCCACCGGCTGTTCGAAGCCTGAGTCCAGTACTGTATAAAGAGGAGAAAAAACATACAGGGGATACTTCTGAACAGCGGATTTGGTCATTTGCATCTTGAGATGAGAGAGAGAAAAGCGTACCTCGTTAGGAGCAAAAGTTGGGGGGCGAAGCCCTCCATCGTTGACCTCGTATAATCGGACAGGAACCCAAGTCAAAGAGGAGTTGTCGATACCAGCCGGAAGCTTTCCAACAGTGAGGACTCCTTCGCCCCCGATATCGACCGTACTTCTTTGCAGTGTGATCTAGAAAGGTGTGAGTTACTGCGGAGGGAAGTAAGCAACTCGCATGACTTACACTGAACATAGGCTGTTCTAGCTCGCCCGACATTGCTATTCTCGTGAGTAAAGGTCCATCTGTGGCCGTTGCATGGAGAAAATCGTCGGTTCCTTCTACAGGACCATGCTAAGACAACGATGAGGGAATGAATATCCGTGAAACTTTGTAGTTTGGAGAAGACTCGTCACCTTTTTCACTACTCGAGCTTCCTGAACCTTGCTGATTTCGGATGAGGTTGGTGAACATCACATATATAGATCACTTGTAAAAGCTCACCTTCCACTGGGGAACCCAAGGCCAAAAATGCCAGCCGTCTGGAACCGCACAATCTGGTTGTTCGTCGAATTAATGAGGCCAAAAGCCTGATCCTCCATGGCTACTCCAGCGACCGATGCAGTATCAAGGCCCACGATGCCAGACGCGTAGGTTCCTGTAGTAGAGTCGCCGTATAGAAAAGTTACATCCGTCCCGGTATGCTTCGCAGATGCCAAGGGGTAACGCGCAACGGAGGCGCCCTGGCACGCGTCGATCTGGCATGCATCAGAGACGACCCACAAGTCGCTGGATCCAGTATCTATCACACCCGCGTTATTTCAGGACCGCCCATCCATTGGTCAAGGTTTACTCACCGATATTGACAGCAGCGACCGAGTTTCCTAGCTTGACTGGCACGGTGTATAACCTGTACGAAGTTCGAGCTCAACCGCTGGTTGTTACATCGCAAGTCAGTTCAGTGCGTACACATCTGAATTATCCCCCAAGCCAATCGACCCACTAACTTCCCCCCGCTTGTAGTTCCTGGCCCTAGTTCGGACGTGTCGTTGAAGTGGGATATCAAATCCCGGTTTCCCGTACACGAGACCAGGCGCACTGGTGAAGAAAAGACAGACAAGAAAAGGGAGAACGAACATCCACAAGAGCGCCCTGCGCTAATGAATGGGAGAGAGGAGTGAAAGGAATGGAGATTCAGAGTCCATTTTGCGGTTGTATCATCAAAAGCTTTTGACGGTTGCGAGAGGTGATATGGCTCGGCGCCGAGCCCATATACTTTCCAAGTCGCTGGTTAGCATCATTTCCTGAATTTCTCTCTCTTTTCATTCAGTCCTTGATCGCCAGATACGATGTACGACTGCAATAACTAGCTCTTACAACCTCACCACGGACTTGTGGATTGGATGAAGCCCAAGGCCGATGGTACTCTTGACTTTTCGCCATTGGTGGTTGTACTTTGAAAGTTAAATAACATCATTTACTCTAGAATACCCTATATCGCACCATCTTGTTGAATTCTTGGAAGGTCTACTTGACGTCGAACGCATGAGGCGTGTTTTCAAGGAGATTTGACCGGCTGCCATGCAGCGGTCCTATGATTCCACGCCGCAACACGCCACAACACAGGCGCATTTTGAGCAGGGTCCCATGCTTTCTCGCGCTCTTGCTGAAGAAGGCTACGTACACGCCTACGCACATATTGCAAAATATCCTGTGGTGACAACGATTCGCGCAAGAGACAAAAATCTTGGACGTTCAGGGGATTGAACCCTGGACCTTATACACATGGCTCGGTCGTACTGACTGGGCTTGCAAAGCATACGCGCTACCACTGCGCTAAACGCCCACCATACCCTTGAACCCCACGTAGCAACCTTGTTGTGTGTTCAGGCCACACCCGACCAATTTTCTACTAGTACTACGACTTGAAAAGCGCCAGAAAGTCACATCCACTAGCTAGCTGGTACCGCACAAATTCATTTGCCTCCAGCCTTCTTGCCATTCCTCTTAGCCATGCTCTTATCACTCCTGACCCTTCCCTTCTTGTTGCTCCCCGCGCCCACATTCTTCTTCCCCCCTGCTGCACCCGCCGCCGCACCAGTCTTTCTAACCCGTTCACGGTCCCTGTCCTTGCTCACCACCTTACCGCCCATCGACATCCGTGCCTTCTTCTTAGCCAGCCTCCTCGCCACACGGTCAGCATCCGACGCCTTGGCCTGCTTCCGTGCGTCCTTGGGCAAGTGCGCCAGCTTCTCACCGAGTGAGGGGTCGCCCTTGGGCACGACGATGGGCGCGGGCGCTGGTGGATGACCGGAGTTTTTGTTTTTGCTCTCGCCCTTCCCGGCGGTCGCTTGGCGCGTTGAAGCAGAGGAGCCGGGGAGGGTACGGCAGCGTTGCACGCGTAGCTTGCGCTTAGCAAATTTGAGCTTGACGGGCTCCATTGCGAGCACTTCATCGACGCTTTCGCGATCCTGAGCAGGTCGGAAGAAACCGTCAGTAAGGTCGTCGATTGAAAAAGAGCACATACGTACGGCGAACTGAACATAGGCGAAGCCCTTACCGAGTTGGGTCTCCTTGTCGCGCACGATGCGCACACGGGTTACCCACGACTTTGGCTTCTTAACCGTTCCTTCATTCTCCTCGTCGTCGCTATCTACAGGCGGCGGGCCGCGTTCGGCGCTAAGAACGCCTTCAAAGAACACCCGCAGGTCCTCCTCCTTGCTGGCGAAATCCAAATTGCCCACGAACACGCTCGATTTGGGGTCTGCGCCAACGAGCTCCAGTTCCACACTTGCGCCTTCCTCGCCGTCCTTCACAGCCTTAGCCAACGCGCTAGCGCTCTTCTTCCCGACCAAGTCGACACGGATCACCCGCTCCATGAATAAACTGCCGTCACAAGCCTTGACTGCGCTCCTGGCGGCCTCATACGGGTCCAGCACCGTGGGCGGGGGCGGCAGATTCACAGGGCGGTTGTCCGCAGGGACGGGATGCGCAAACACGATATAGGCGTTGACGGTGTTGGCGGTGGAGTGGAATTCCTGGTTAATGAATGCGATTTTCTTCTTCTGGTTCGGGTTAAGGTACTTCTTCTCGTCGTTTCGGACTTCCTCGGTGTCCTTGTCCTCGTTACGCGTGCGCCAGGTGGATGTGCGGTCGAGGTCGTGCGGACGCGGAGCCTTGGGTGTCGCATTGGCGCCAGTGCCGGAGCCAGGCTTGGGGTTGGGTTTACCACCTTCGAGCGCCCCGTCGTCTTCTGTCAGTTTGGAGGTGGGTGCCTGGAAGGGAACGGAGCGGAATCGTGTGGACTCGATTTTGGCTTTGGGAACTTGAGAAAGGATGTGTCGTTGAAGCTGTTTTAGTAGAGGCTGAAGAGGAAGGGTAAATGATAATTCTATGTTTGAGAGATGAAGACTTGCCCGTTTTTGAGCGACATCTACGGAGAGGTTGCCGACAAAGATCGTCCGCTGGTCCCTCTGCTCAGGCGTCTCCTCGCTGGGAACAAATTTGACTTTGGGCCCTGACTTGTTAGCTTTTTTGCCGCTCTTCTCTAGCAACGACTCGTGTACGAGGGATTGATCGGCCTCATCGTCGGAAGCACCCTCGACATGGGCACGGGCATCGTATGCGTTCTCCAGGTCAGACTCTTCCGAGTCGGGATTGAGCTCCTTCGCCTTGCCTTTACCATTCGGCTTTTTTGATTCCTTTCCGGTCCTTGGAGATTTGGATACCTTGGGCGTAGCCTCGCCCTTGGGTTTCTGATCCCGTTTGCTGGGTCCGGGTTTTGACCGCTTGGAGGGCTCCTCCGAAGGTTCTGGCGCAGCCTTGCGTTTCTTTGCAGCGTCCTTGGATGATCCTGGAATAGCGATGGGTGTAGCTGCCTGCTTGAACAAAGATGGTGCAGTAGGCTATTCACTGAATCAGTTAGATTGTTTAACACCCTGTAGGTATAATTGAATTGACCTTGGCGGTAAACAGCGCATCAAGCTCAGAGTCGATGGCCTTCTTGGGTCCCTTGGAAATAAGGAGCGACGACAAACTCATTGCGGCGTCGTCGAGCAAGGTGGTTGACAAAAAAGCTACAAAAAAGTATACGAGTCACGATCGGTCACGCCACACAACCGAGACCGTGACGTCGCAGGTCCTCAAGTCCGCGACTTGCTTTCGACTTGCACTATGGGTATCAAAGGTTTAACTGGGCTCATCTCAGAGATTGCTCCGGCAGCAATGAAGGAGCATGATATCAAGACTCTTTTCGGCCGCAAAGTCGCCATCGACGCCTCCATGTCAATATACCAATTCTTGATCGCAGTGCGACAGAAGGACGGTGAGATGCTCACCAACGACGCCGGTGAAACGACGAGTCATCTCATGGGCTTCTTCTACCGAACAATCCGTATTGTCGAAAATGGTATCAAGCCGGCGTACGTCTTTGACGGAAAACCCCCAGAGTTGAAGAAGGGTGTGGTACGTCGTGTCTTCATTTTCTCTCGCAGTTCGTGTGAAGTGACGCGACTTTCAGTTGTCAAAACGCTACGAGAAGCGTGCGGAGGCCAAGGAGGATAATGAGGAGGCAAAAGAGGTTGGAACCGTGGAGGAAATGGATAAATTCTCGCGTCGAACAGTCAAGGTCACGAGAGAGCACAACGAGGAGTGCCGACGACTTCTCAAACTCATGGGCATCCCGGTCGTCGTGGTGCGTATCATGCTATACATATGGTAAATCTCAGGCTCCTTGGCTAACCTTGTAAACCAGGCACCTTCAGAAGCAGAGGCTCAATGCGCGGAACTCGCTCGCGGTGGCAAGGCGCGTCTCTATCCTTTCAACTTCTCCAAATCTCTAACTTAACATATTCTAGGTCTACGCCGCCGGCTCTGAAGATATGGACACCCTAACCTTCTCCGCTCCCATCCTCTTCCGTCACCTTACTTTCTCCGAAGCCAAAAAGCAGCCCATCAGCGAAATTAACCTCCAGGCCGCCCTCGAAGGCCTTGACATGAACATGAGCCAGGTACTCTCTACATCTCATATATTTTCTCCATTTCACCTACCGTGCTCCACAGTTCATCGACTTGTGTCTTCTGCTGGGATGCGACTACCTCGAGCCCATCAAAGGCGTCGGCCCCAAGACCGCTCTGAAACTCATCAGAGAACACAAGGGCCTCAAAGGCGTCGTTACGCACCTCCGAGTAAAGTGGGTTCTATATTCACCCTCGCCTGAGGTGTATCGTATGTGGGTGGAGGCTGACAAGAAGAAACAAAGAGCGGCAGAAAAAGCGGAGGAGGCGCAGCCTGAAAGTGAATCGGAAGACGAGCCTGCAGCGACGTCGGACGTCGAGAAACCGGATCACGACGATAGTGACGGGGAGCGAGAGGTCACGCCGAAGCCTAAGCCCAAGCCGAAGAAGAAGGGCAAGGGTAAAGGCAAAGGTGGTGTAGTGATTCCGGAGGAGTGGCCGTGGGAGGAGGCAAAGGCCATCTTTGTGAAGCCGGATGTGACGCCTGCGGATGAGATCGAACTGGAGTGGAAGAACCCTGACGTGGAGGGCCTGGTGCAGTTCTTGGTGACGGAGAAGGGCTTCAAGTGAGTTCGATCTTATCTTTTTGTGGGATATGACTGAAGAGGTTTGCACAGCGAGGAACGTGTGCGCAAAGGCGCAGATAAGCTCACAAAATTCCTGAATAGCAAGCAGCAGGGGCGTCTCGACGGGTTCTTCACCGTGAAACCGAAAGAGCCTACAAAGGACGCGAAAGGGAAGGGTAAACTCAAGGTTGATGCGAAGAAGGGAATAAAACGCAAGGTTGGTTTCGTTATTCCTCCGGCTACATATGTCCTGAATCTGTTGCTGTTGTAGGGAGATGACAAGGAGACGAGTACGGGCAAGAAAGCGAAAACCAAAAAATAAAAGCTTGCGATGCTCCGAAAAATCTCGTACTAGCCATGATAGTAGTTACTATCTAGTCTTGCTTTATTGTTCCATTGTAATTTATTTGTGTACCATTAAAACCCTTGGTTTGACCTCTTCAGCTTTTGTCGCCGCTGCGCCATTGTGCCTTCACTCTTTCTTCTGATTCCAGGTCTTCCGGCATTTCGCCTGACGTCTCATCGTGGCAGTCAACAGTCCTACAATTATAATATGTTACATTCCGTTCCGCTCGTGCCAAATACTTATTCAGATACAATACCGCACTGTCCAAGCCGCTTCCACCCAGCTACGTGGCGTACGTTCGATGGCCCCGATCAGGTGGCTCCCCAAGAGATCTCGAAACACGTGCATGTACGCAGACGGCCATATGCCCAAAGCCAGAGCTGTTGATAGGAAATAATCCCTCGACCGTCGACGTTGGGCCCGTTGTGCAATGTGGTGGGCTATTGACGGTTTCTTGCAGGGGCCCTGGCCCCTTTTCAATGATACACAAATTAGTAGTTGTGATTGCTTTCTGAAGGAACATACACGCACGGCACGCACGCTTGATAAATAACTCGCCCAAGTACTCTACAATTTACTCGTAGCAGTAACTCTACGTGCTTTTAATGGCATTCACGACAAACCCTCGAATCTAGTCGTGGTCGTGTCGCAAATGGCATATGCCGCAGTCAAATCGATACATTGTTACGCGGCAAGCCTTGACGTGTGCACCTTCAATATATTGAACATCCAATGTTCTGAATGTTGCAACAAGCCCCCTCAGGCAGCGCTGAACGGCGCCATATGAATATAGTAACCTATATGTACGCACGCTTGACGACCCCTGTGACATCGACACTGTCGTTTGAGCCAGCTTTCCATCTGGCTGTTGACTTAACACAACGACAGATTTAGATTTGTCACCGGAATGTCCCCATA